ATGTGTATTCCCATTTATCGGATAACCATCCTCCATCTGCCGTCAGAAAATAAATATTGATGTAATTTGTTTTTCAACCAAAGGTCTCCAATTATTTTGTACGAGTAAAAGAGAACATTGTAAGACAGATTTGGAGAAGTATCGAAGAGCACAGTGTTTAACTGAACAAATAGCAAAATATGATGTTGATCTCATCTCCCTGGCTGCAATGTTTTGAACGGTTAAAGCCTCAAGTTTAGTTCAGTTTCTCTGCAGTTATGTCCTGATATGAACTCAGTGAAAGATACTGAGTGGGCAATTATTTGGGTTTTGTCAAGACTTGGGACAATGCCGTTAGGATTCCTTTGGGGATCTTAGCATGGTCCTCTGAATGCATCTGGTACAGAAAATTAATAGCAAGCATGATAAAGATGCATGGAATGGTCAAAGTTTAACTGGACTATTCTTATATCCTAAGTCAAGTTAAAAATGACTGAACATGAGTTTCAAGAAAAAAAACTATTGTTTGAAAGAGACAGCATTCAGTTTGAAGTGAAATATTTTCACAGTTCATGTTTTACCATTCCTTAATTTTAAGAATGGGAGCAAAGTGTATTGAGCTATTAATTCCCCTTCTCACTTTCATCTGGGGATAGATAGATGTGATAATGAAAGAAGAATGCATTAAAAATATAGAATAAAATATGTACTTCTTTAAAATAAATCGAAAAACAATTGAAAAGAATCAAGTCTGTTATCACACACTATAATGTCATGTGCATAATTCTTTTTTTTTTGTTTCGGTTAATCTGTTCGATTATTTTGTAGTGATGGCCTGGAGTAAATTTCTATCTTACACTGTTACTGTGGTATGTAAAAGCCCTATCCTGATCGTCCTATGACATATTCAAACTAGTAAAATATGTCGACCAACTTGCCCACCAAATTTCACCAAATAGATGCCATTCCTTGTGTGAAGAAATTACACATAATACTCTGCTTTCCTATCTTACCTTGAGGCTATAATGGGGTTTACTTTTAACATTGTGTACAGTTCGGTAAGATGGCCTGTAGCAGCCTCATCCTCAGACTTTATAGACCTGACGGTTCTCTAATCTTCTGTCAGAGCTCATCCTGTTTCCACTCAGCACTTTCTCTCAAGCGTGTATGTGCTTTTCACATACAAATATATCAATTAGGAACAGAAGTAGGCCATTCATCCCCTGGAGCCTGCTTCACCGTTCAGTAAGGTCATTACTGAACTGCTTCCAACCCATACCCATCTATCCCAATACTGTTTCACTGTCTAGCTTAACAAGAATCTCTCTACTGCTGCCTTAAAAATCTTCAAAGTTTCTGTTTCCAGCACCTTTTCAGGAAGCAACTTCCAAAGACTCATGATCCTCTGTGAGAAAAAAATTATTCTTATCTCTGTGTATTTTGAAACCACAACCTCCTAGTTCTAGATTCTGCCACAAGAAGAAACATCCTTTGCACGAGGCATCCTGTCAAGATCCCATTGGGATCGTACATGTTTCAATCAAGTCGCCTCTTACTTTTCTGAACTCCTGTGGATACAAGCTCAGCCTGTCCAACCTGCCTCATAAGACAGTCTTCTCATTTCAGATGTTATTCTGGCAAAATCCCTCTGAACAGTTTCCAACTCATTTACACCCTTCCTTTAAGAAGGTGACCGTACTGTGCACAATACACCACATGTGGTCACAGGCTCATCAATGCCCTGTAGAACAAAAGAATAACCTACCTCCTTTTGTATTCAGTACCCCTCACAATAAATAATGTCAGAAATCACACGACACCAGGTTATAGTCGAACAGGTTTATTTTGAAAACACAAGCTTTCAGAGTCTTACTCCTTCTTCAGGTGCTAGTGAGAGAGGTAGTATCAGACACTATATACACACACACATTGTCCCACACATGCACACACATAAACACACGCACTGTCCCATACACACACTATTTCTCTCTCTCTCTCCCTCCCTCTCCCAGTGCGCACACACGCACACGCTCTCTTCCTCCCCCCTCACACACACGCACACACTCTGTCTCTCTCCCCCTCACATACATGTATATATACAAACACACACATGCATGCACACATACATGTGAATCTATGGGGTGAATTTTGTTTGCAGATACATTCTATTTGGTTCAAAAAGCACGCAATTAATTGACAGTCAGTTAATGTGGCATTTTATAATTTCCTACTTTAGAAATAAAACTAGTCTGACTCCAAACCAAAACTCAAACAGATTGTAAACAAGGCCTCACACCTAACATGCATTGTCTGACCTAAAATGTCATCTCTTCTTTACAATGATAAAACCTTTAGTTCTCTCAGGACAATGACTTGAAAGGAATTTGAGGAATTACATATACATATTAATCAATTAAAACCTTCTAACTGATTGAGATTTAACAGTATCTTAGGCTTGTTTTGTACATCCTCATCATTGGTGTGACCCTTTGATCTTTTACTTATAAATTCTGTGTCTGATACTACCTCTCTCAGTAACATCTGAAGGAGTAGTAAGATTCTGAAATCTTGTGTTTTCAAATAAACCTGTTGGACTATAAGCTGGTGTCGTGTGATTTCTGACCTTGTCCATGCCAGTCCAACACAGGCACCTCCACACGACACAATAAATAATACCATTCCATTAGCTTTCCTGATTACCTGCTGTGTCTGCATACTAACCTTTACAGATCGATGTACTGGGACAAGTAGATCCTGCTGTATCTCAGAGCTCTGCAATCTCTCACCGTTTGGGTAACTTGTTTCATTTTTATTCTTCTTGCCAAAATAGACAATTTCACATTTTCCCACATTATGATCCATTTTTCCTGTGGCATGCTAACCAGATTCAACAGCTCTTTTCCAAATGTGGTCTGTTTGAAACGTTTGGATATCTCCTACTATCCCTGGCTCAAATTTCTATATCCACTCTGTGACAGTACACAACGTGTGTGTGTGTGTGTGTGTATGTGTTTGAATATCTGAACCATTGTTAACTGCTTTCATGACTTACCTAGGCATTTTCCTGATAACCTATTTTTTCACCCAGTTGTGGGTTATCAACCTTGACTGACTTTAGGAGACATTGCTAAGCAGCTGAGCCAGAATTTAGAAGCTCTTGGAATGGAAAAACAGGTGAGGAGCTTTCCAGGCTAAAAGATCCCAGGTTCAGACACTAGAACCGTAGAATCCATACAGTGTGGAAACATACCATTCGGCTCAACCAGACCACATCAACTCACCTCCACTACCCTATCCCTGTAACTCTGCATTTCCCATGTATAATCCACCTACCCTACACATCCCTGGATACTAAGGGCAATTTAGCCTGGCCAATCCACCTAACCTGCACATCTTTGGACTGTGGGAGGAAACTGGAGCATCTGGTGGAAACCCATGCAGACAATGTGCAAAATCTACACAGTCGCCTGGAATTGAATTCAGGTCCCTAGTGTTGTGAGGCAGCAGTGCTAACCACTGAGTCACTGTGCTGCCCTAGGCTGTACTGAGTCACCTAACCTCAGCCAGGGTGGTGGTTGGGGATCACTGTGTTGGCAAATTAGACCATGTGCTGCCACTCCACAGTTTGGATTAAATTTGATTGGATCACAACATATTCCTATTTGAGCCATCAAGAGGAGAATGACATTATTCCTGCTCTGAAAACATTTTTATAGATGCACCGTAGAAACATCCTATCTGGATGCGTCACCGCGTTGTATGGCAACTAATCCCAGCCTCGGATGACTGCCTGTATGGAGTTTGGACATTCTCCCCAGGACTGCGTGGGTTTACTCCAGGTGCTCTGGTTTCCTCCCACAGTCCAAGATCGAAAGAAACTACGGAGAGTTGTGAACACCGCCCAGTCCATGGAAACTAGCCTTTCGTCCGTTGACTCCCACTGCCTCGGGAAAGCAACCCACATAATCAAAGACTGGTTATGCTCTCTTCAACCCTCGTCCATTGGGCAGAAAATATAAACGTTTGTATACACATATGAACAGATTCAAGAACAGCTTCTTCCCTGCTGTTATCAGACTTTTGAATGGACCGCTTTAATGTTAATGTTGATCTCTCTGCACCTTCTCGGCAGCTGTAACATTGTATCCTGCACTCTGTTCTGTTACCCTGATACACTTGTATAGTGCGATCTGCCTGTAAAGCATGTAAGACAACACTTTACAATGTACCTCGGTACATGAGACAGTAATAAATCAAATCAAATCAACTAGTCATTAGGCTGAATCACAAGATCGTTAGATGTTCAGAAGGACGAATGGATATGTGACTTTGAGAGTCTTTGTCCTAAAAGTTTCAGCTGGTGTTGCTGCTCCCATTGCAATCACATTTTACCTGCTGCATCTGGGTGGATGTCAGCTGAACAGTATTGAAGCTATTGACACTTACAGTTAGATTTACACAGACAGTATAGTTAACTCAGCCATAAACAGAGGGACACCAAAATCAAACAGGGAACTGCTGATGCTGGAGATCTGAAACACACCAAAACAGAAATAGCTGGAGAAACTCAGAATGTCTGTGGGGAGAAAACGGAGTTAACAGTCACCGGACTCGAAACGTCAACTCTGCTTTCTCTCCACAAGCCTGTTGAGTTTCTTCAGTATTTTCTGCTTTTTATGTGTTTATGTGTATGGAGGGGAGTGAGTATTGCTGGCATTGATAAAACTGCACCTCAGAAAAGTCAGCACTTGCAGCACAGGAGGGAGAAAGCAGGGATAGCGAAGCAGAAAATAGAACAAAACATAGACTAGTGTGCTGCCCTACTGAAACTGAGAACTTCTTTTATGTAAAAGAGTCCCAGCGGAAATCTTTATAAAAGATGCTGTCTCTGTACAGTCATTTTTGCTTGGCCCAAAAGGAAAAAGACAGCCTATAGTTTCTTGAAGGAATTAATGCTAAGTGCTTTGTTTACTGTCGTGTGTTATTCAGTGGTGAGTGTTAAACTGAATCTCTTCCACCAGATGAATGTGGAATCGTTGCCCAGATTGCAGAGCCTCTGGCTGCCGCTGATATCCCTGCATACTACATCAGTACATTTAAGTTTGATCACGCCTTGGTAAGTTTCAAAACAGCCTGGTTACAAAAGAGCAGACTGCAGTGTTATTTTCTGGACGAAAATTAGACCTGTCACTTTGCATCACTGTTGCTTCTTATAACTATTTATTCCGCTTTAACCCAGCCTGGATCTGGCAAGATTCTGAAGAGCTTGCTTGTTGAATGTGAACTGTGTGAAGCTGATGTTACTGACAAGGTTAATCTGCTGAACCATGGCCAGTTCATTAGAGTAAAATGTTGTTTTTCTTTCTGTTTGCATGCCCGCTCTCTGCTTCGCTGCCCCTTAGTATCGAGAGTGATTTATCAGCAGATTGATTATTGCTAATTGTTTTAGTCTGTTAAAGCATAAAGCTGAAGAAACTAAGCTTGCACAATTTTTTCGCTGTGCTTGCATTTTTGCCTCCCTTTTAAGTGCAGAGCTGTTGAACTGTGTCCCCTGCAGATAGTATGAGGAATTGTTACTCATCCGTATCCTGTTCTGATCCATGGTACACATTTCTGAACAATGTCCCTGCAAATTTTCCCCATTAGAGCGTTGTTTATTTGGCTTAGCAATGCACTGTTTATTTTCCAGTTGTGTTAGTAAGCTCAATATTTATTTGAAGAATTCTATGTCCTTACTCTTGGCCCTAGATTTCAATATTTTTGTCAGTATTTCTGTTGCAGTCTTTTTCTGCATTAATATCAGAATTCAGAAGAAAACTTGTCTCGCTGAATGAAGTATCTGTTCTGTCAGTCCGACAACAGGTTTTATACTTGGGTATTCATACAAGTAATCTGACCGTTTCTGAGGAAAGAAGGGCAATCTCACCGTTTTCAAAATCTACGCTTATCTTTATTTTTTTCCCAATTTTCTCCCCTTCTGAAAGCACGGACTTAGGCAGAGCTCAGTTACGTGGAGTTGGCAGTCATTAGCACCTCACCAGCTCTCTGTGCCTCATGCAGTTTAAACAAATGGAGGGGCCCCTTGACCAGGCCAGATCCTGCCCACAGTGAACCCACCAGCAGAGGGCAGAATTTTGAGTCAGCAACGGGAGTATTGGCTGCAGAGCCAATGGGAGCCCCGTGTCATCCCTTTTGGGGAGGGCCCACAGAATTAAGTGCCAATCGGGCACTCAGTTGGGCAATGTTGGGTTCTTCCCTGGGCAGCGAGAGCTACAGGCCTCTGGTTGCTCAGTAGCACCACCGGGCATGAGGTGGATGCTGCTGCTAAGGCCCCTACCTAAGACCCAAGATCACGGAAAAGACCCTGTCCACTGGCCGTGTATAGCCGGAGGGCGATCGCAGGCTGGGAGCCGCTGGGGAATTGTGGAGATGGGCAGCAGTTAGCAGCAATGTTGGGTGGGGTAACTCACAGCACGCCCACCCCCAGCCCCATTCCTGAAGCCGGGTTTCTTGATCAGTCCTTGATTGCATTTGAATGATTTCCCATTTAGTTGGTGGCAAGCAGGAAGGCTGTCTGTGGACTGTGGTAGGGGCAGGCGGCCATTCTCCTGCTGGATTGTTTGGCTCCATCCTTCACTAAGCACACGGCTGGCGAGGGCATGAATTTCCAGCCACAGAGACCTCACTGTGGTGGACTGTGCTATCAGTAGGAAACCAATGGGGCTTTCCCTCCCTAACCCTGGGCTATTCATTTGAGTGAGGAGCTTCCTATCGTCACCCTGTCTGAGACCACCAACGCAATGCACTGATGAAATGCAGAGTTGTGTCTCAAAGGTAGAGAAGGAGATGATTCGACTAATCTATAGAATAAGGGAAGTATGGTTTATTATGGAATTAGACAATTTTTGTTTGGTGTTGCTAATATTCTCTCTCTTTCCGAGTTTGAGAATTAAGCTAACCTGCAGATTTGGATTACTATCAGTCAGAACTATTGTTCTGTGGCTCTCACTCCAGTACAAGGTAAAACTAGCTTTTTCATAGATACATGAAAATCTGAAGAACTTGGAAGGACTTCTGTTTGAATCTTAATTTGTGTTAATTTCACTGTTAGCTGAGACAGCATTTGCGTGCAACACTGAATGGACAGCAGTACAGCAAAGGTAGGAATTGACCAGGCTTGATGGAAAGTGAGATGAAGCCATTGTGTTCACGCAAGGCCATGCAGCTCATCAAGTCAGTGCAACTCTCCATTCAGAATTCCAGTCTGCCCTGCTCTTACTCCTGCCGTACGGTCCTTTCCCCTCTATCACCGCCCTCCTGGGCAGCGCATACTGTATCCATACTGCTTTTCAAAACAAGTTCTTCCCCACATTCCCCCTACATCACCCGCCCAAGCCTTAAATCCATGTCTCGTAGTCTTTGTGCCAGTAATTAATGAGAGCAGCTTTCTTTTGTCTATACTTTTGTTTGCCTCCATTGGATAGATGGCATTTCAGTACTTAATGTGTGGCCTGAGGCATGAAGAGTGGCTACTTGTGTGAGATGGTAGTGGGCTGACAATGTCCTCATTAACGTGAACACTATTAGGAGAGGAGTCCCATGTTGAATGGCATTGACCCTGCCCAGGTGAAGTCAGAAAATATCTACTCAGCCTGCTTGCTGTTGTTCTATCAAGTTGAACCAATCAGACTCTGCTTTCAGGTGAAACTGGAATTTGCTTGATCTCAAACACTGAAGGAAAAGTTTTATTGCTTGAATGATGGTCACAAAAGAGGCAGGACAAACCTGTCATAGGACAGACAAATCCTCTTCAAGGAAATGTGAAAAGGCTTGCAGTGTTTAATTTTGTGTAGTCGTGAATGGTGTCACCCAATAGCATACAAAGAACCAAAAATACTCTTGTGTCTGTTATGCCTCTAACATCTCCAAGTCAAATAGTCACCAATAATGCACCACAATATGAATAATCTGCCCATAATAACATGGTGACTTTAAAGTTAAAAGATTAGTTAATTGGTGTAATATCATACCTCACTTGCTATTCTAATCCCTGTTTTAACCCACCTCAATGTTTCTGAGCTTTATAACCCAATTTGAGAGCTTCTTTATGTGTAGAGGAGCATAAAGTACCGCATGCCTAAAGCTATTGTTAACATTTCTAAGGTTTTGGAGTAGATCTGTAGCTCAGTTTGTAGGTGTTGAGGTTGGTTGGCTCGCCGAGCTGGTTTTTTGTTTCACAAACGTCCTCAGTGCAGCCTCCGATGAAGCGTCGGTGTGTTTTCCCACCTGGTTTTTAAACTCTGGGGTCCGTTTAGATGGATTGCCTCACTTCTGGTTTTCCTTCATAGTGGAATGTATATGGGGTCGAGTTCAATGTGTTTATTAATAGCATGCTTCATGGACTGCCATGCTTCCAGGAATTCTTGTGTTTGTCTCTGCCTAGTCTGTCCCAGGATCTTGGTGTTGTCCCAGTCAAAGTGGTGGTTCTCCTTGACCATGTGGATTGAGATGAGTGAATATTGGTCGTGTCTTTTTGTAGCCAGTTGGTGTTCATGTACTCTTGTTGTTAGTTTCCTTCCTGTTTGTCCGATGTAGTGTTTCTCGCAGTCTCTGCAGGGGATCTTGTAGATGACATTGGTCCTGTTCATGGCGGGGAGTGGGTCTTTAGTTCAGGTGAGCAGTTGTCGTAGGGTTGATGTGGGCTTGTGTGCCACTCTGATGCCCAGCGGTCGTAGCAGTCTTGTGGTGAGTTCTGACGTGTTCCTGATGTAGGGTAGTGTGATGAGTGTGTCAGGGCATGTTGAATCTTTATGATGCTGTTCATGTAGGCATCTTCTGACCCAGTTCTTTGGATATCCATTATCCATGAAAACCTGGAAGAGGTATTCTTCTTCCTCTTGGCGTAGTTCCGTGTTGCTGCAGTGTGTTGTTGCCCTTTTTAATAGTGTTCATACATAGCTTTGTTTGTGTGTGTTGGTATGGTTACTGTTGAAGTTCAGTACCTCGTCTGTGTGTGTGGCTTTTTGGTGTACTTTTGTTTGCAGTTCCCCATTTGTCTTGCACTCTACCATGACGTCCAGGACTGGGAGCTGTTTGTTCTTCTCCTCCTCTCTGGTGAATTTTATTTCTGTGAGGGTGTTGTTTATAAGCTTGTGTGTCTCCTCTAATTTGATCCGTTTAATGATGACAAAGGTGTCGTCTACGTAGCGTATCCATAGTTTAGGTTGGATTTGCGGAAGGGCAGTCCTTTCTAGTCTTTGCATCAGTGCGGAGATAGGTGATCCCATGGGTGTCCCGTTGATTTGCTGATATGTTGGCCATTGAAAGTAAAGTGGGTGGTGAGGCATAGGTCCAATAGTTTGAGCATGTTGTCCTTGGAGATGGTTTCACTGGGGTCGTGCTCTTGTTCCAGTAGTGTTGTGATTGTTTCCCTTGCTAGTGGTAGGTCTATTGATGTGAATAGGGCAGTGACATCAAACGATAACCCTACGACAACTGCTCACCCAAACTAAAGACTCACTCCCCGCCATGGACAGGACCAATGTCGTCTAAAAGATCCCCTGCAGAGACTGCGAGAAACACTACATCGGACAAACAGGAAGGAAACTAACAACAAGAGAACATGAACACCAACTGGCTACAAAAATACACGACCAGTACTCACTCATCTGAATCCACATGGACAAGGAGAACCACAACTTCGACTGGGACAACACCAAGATCCTGGGACAGGCTAGGCAGAGACAGGCATGAGAATTCCTGGAAGCATGGCATTCCACGAAGCATGCTATTAATAAACACATTGAACTTGACCCCATATACATTCCACTATGAAGGAAAACCGAAGTGAGGCAGTCCATCTCAACGGACCCCAGAGTTTAAAAACCAGGTGGGAAAACACACCGACGCTTCATCGGAGGCTGCACTGAGGATGTTACCCAGCATGGTAACGAAACATCTGCGAAACAAGAAACCAGCTCGGTGAGCCAACCAACCTATTGTTAACATTGTATTCTGCTCCCATCATTTCTGACATCACCTACTCACTATAGAGATACGGTTCCACACCTGTCAATCATCCAGTGGTATATTGCCCAAATGGCTGTTGACTGGAAGCCTTGACAATGAATACCTCCAGGCAACCAGACATCCTTACTGAACCCACTTAGGTACTCAGCTGCTCTCCACAAGAGCGTTTCCCTTAGGATAACCTGTGTAACCATTCTAAGAAGGAATACTGGATAACTTTTCTTTCCCTTACCCAAGGTACTTTGAATCACTTTGGTGTCATTTCAATTAATTCACTACAGACCAGAGATCAAACTCATGACCTTCCTGGCCGATATGGATTAGAGACCTTTCACCTTGAGTCAACGAAATGGCCCCATTAACTAATATAATGATGTATTTTACACGTAAAAGCTGTGACTGGATTAAAACAGACCAGCCCAGTAAGTGCCCTAATGCCTTTCTATTTTCTTATCTATTCTCTTCTTATATTCCAAGGTACCTGAAGAAAATATCAACAGTGTGATCAACGCTCTCCAAGTGAGTCAGAACAAGAAGCAGTAGGTGGGAAACTGAGATGCTGGCGGCTTCATCTTCACATAGTAGTCAAAGTTGAAACTCAGATTTCAAGAAGAAACCTTTGGGTGTTTGTAAAGGAGCAGAAAGCCTGTGAAAACTAGTGAAAGCTGGTGGCTTTTTGAAGTCTGTTCCCAAAGTGAATGTTACCATTGTGTTCTTTGTGTGAACCGTGTTACATTGTACTGGTAAAGTCAAACCATCTCTTTCTACTCATGTTTTCCCCCACTGTGAAGGAGCGGTGGTGATTGGCTGTTGTCTATGAATTAGTTGGGTTAGTTATCTCATGTAGCACAAAGCTGATTTCTCAAATTCGGGGGCAGAAGGGTCTCTTGTTAAGTGTAGAGATGTCAAATTTTGGGAGTGATCACATGGAGGTAATCTAATTTTGGGTCGGCTTATGATATCACAAATTGTGAAACTAAAGCTGGCATCCTCTTCAGATAACAGTCCTTTAAGTTATTCTCTGATAGCTGTTACTTCGTTTAATATGCTGTTTCATTTTATTTGGAAAGTTCCTACACATCTAGGCAAGTTGATGCATGATGGCATCCTCACTGTTGCAACATTTTTATTGCTACTACCTTGAATAGTAATCTGCAGTTCACTCTAGAAAGTCCACATCTTATTCCATGGGAACATGAACAGTGTAGCATGCCAGCAATTGCTGCTGCCCTTCCTTATTCTCCCCTGTCTCAAAGTTGAATACTAAATGCATTTGGCAAGAAAGATTAATACAGGGATTATTGAGGCAAGTGACCAAATAATATTCACCCTTGTGAAGAGATCTAAGTTTCCACAGTTCCATTGACGATTAACTTGCTTCCTATATTTCATGCTTGCACCAAGGTTGATCACTTCCCTTATAAATATTATTCAATGCTTCACAGAGAAGTGAAAAGGGATTTATTTTGGACACATTAAACAAGCTATTCCCAACACTCTGTTTTAGTTATACTATTGGCAAGCTTATGCCTTGGCATCCCTACAAAGAGAAATAAGACAGTACAGGATCCAAGGAGAGGATTTTATCCTTTTTAAGACACCTGGAGAACAATTCCAACCAAATTTTTATCACAATGTCTTTCAGCTGCCAGTCTAATTTGATTTTCACATTTAACTGCTTTCCACCAGGGTTGCTACACTCCTGACTTAACATATTGTAAGGTATTCCAATGACAGTTTAGCATTAAGATAGCTCTTCAAGACTTCTCAGCAGGAGTTATTGTTCAAGGAATGTATCATAAAGGAACATATCAGAACTGAGTCATATATGAGCAATTGCAGAATTTTGAAATGCAAACAGAGAAGGAAAATGTCTATAACACAGCAGTTCAGTTTTAATTGCAGACCATATCTTCAGAGGTGGCAAGAAAACACTAATCAGACCTACTTAAACAATGATTTGAGGATTTTGTTAATTTGTAAGCCATCACACCTGTTGTTTTAGCAGCCCTTCATGGCTCACCTCAAGTTTTTCTGTCACTTGTGAAAACCTCAACCAGAAGAGGAGAGAATTGGCAAATTTTGTTCTTTTTTAAATTGCTTTCTTCTCTCTTTTCCTAATTCTGTGATTGATGTGTTTTACTAATTTCTCTGTCAAATACGTATCATCACATTTAGCACTTGTATCTCCACCATATTACTCATGTCCTGTTGTACTGCAAGGTGCCAACTGCATGTGAAGAAGGAAGAATGTAGCATTGTTTATTTTTCATATACTAATTTGCACACAATTGCCTGAGTGAACCTGAAGGCTGACACTTTGGAGATTTAATCATCTTATACAGGCAAACTCCTGTATCTTCTATCATTTCCTACTTTGTTATTTATACACACGTTATGAAGTAAATAGGACTTGACTAAATTGTACTGCTGCTTTCACTGGTGTATCCACTCCTGGTCTTTTTTAAAGCTGAAAACAGAGGAAAGATTTTATTGTTTTAGATTCAACAACCTTCTGTGGTGAATCAGCCACCAGAGGTAATGATAAGATTGTGAAACTGCCTCTCCGGGTGCTGAAGTGCCTGCCCAGTGATGCTGTGATTGCTTTATTAGAGAATATTAACGAAGCTAAGACATTGCTAATAGATAAATCCCAAGGTATGTGTTGAAATTAAGCAAAAGTTTAAACTTAACCTTCTTACAATAGTTATTAAACTGAATTCTTAATTAATTTCAAGCCTGGTTTACAGATGGAAAATATTTTCCTGATTAGCAGATACAGCGTTTTGATATTTATAGCATTTGATGAAACTTTTAAGTTCTCTTGAAATTCAGTTGAAATAGTATTTGCAAAAAGTTTACAAGTTTGTAATTTTTGAACTGAAATTTCTTGCTTGCTATTAATGGTTTTACAAATCTCATTATATTTATAACCACTGCTGTTGTGTTTATTTTCCAAACTTCTAGTCAGTTTTTTTTTAGTTCTTTTTGCATCTAAGGACACTAATGTGTTTTTTTTTAATGAGAGGTGGCCATGGTAATTGAGAATCTGTGCAGTCCTTTAAATGATAAAGCTCAATTAACCTCTTAACTAGAGTCAACTAAAACTAATTGAACTCAGCCTGAGAACATGCTGATTTCAAACCACCTCACTCCGTTGGTACTGAATGCTAAAATCACCCCAAAGCTCTGATGTCCCTACTGTTATTCCTGATCTAGCACCTGAAACTAATCTACAAGTCTAAGCAACCCCTCTTTCTGAGTTGGGAGGCCTGGATTCAAGTTCTACCTGCTCCAGAGTTGTTCTCTCTATGCTCCTTAAAATGGATGTTATTTCCTTCATTTGGATTAGAACCCCATGCATTTGCACTCCTGACTTCCCATTAGTACTGGATGAACATATGAGGCTCTACTGATGATGTTACTCTCCTTTTGTTTATAAGCTACAACAGTAGAGGCTTTTAGCTCCTTTATTAATGCTGCAGCACTACCAGCAGACAGTATAAGAGCTCGATGATATTAGACTATTTTTTGCCTTGTTATCTGAGTCCTAAATAGCACAGAAAAAGTTGCACATCACAGCCCTGTCTGACTGACAAGGCAGACCCTAGATTCACTTAGACTGACTTCAGGCTTCAACAATATCATTCAAATTCCTGATATACCATCTTGTGAACTGTTTTGCAAAGTGCTGCATGATATTTTCCACTAGCTTTTATTTCCTTGTCTTTACAGTTTCTTCTCTAATGTAACTTTTTTCATCGATGCATAGTTCTTTCTTATCCTATTTATTTAGTGTCCAACTGGGAGTTTAAAATGACCAATGATCTCATATTCCAGTCTGGTTGAAGTCCTGGCTGAATTATCAGATTGGAACTTCTTAAGTGTGAAGTTTACAACTGCTTTCTTTTTGTAATATTTCTTTCCAACCATACACTTGAAAACACAAGCCTTACTTTACTCAGAGGAAATAAAACAATGAAACCGCAGAACTCTATAGTACTGCTAGTCCTCAATTTGCTCTTCTAACAAGTCCAACCTTCATTACCCACACTCCAGTTATTTGTCATCCTGATTATGCTGCCGGAATTCTATCTGGACAAAAGAATTGTCTGAGACATCAGAATTTTTTTTTTTGGATATTTGTATTGTACCTGTCCTCATTTCTGTAAAATTACACTTCTGTACTTTTAGGAACGTGGATTGGAAGCTCTCACTCGTCCATCATTTTCATTTTCCCATGGGGAACCCCATTCATTGCGCCAAATAATTAAGGCTTCATTGTATCCCTAATGGAATATGCATTCCTACTGAAATAAAAACAAGAAATGCTGGAACTGCTCAGCAGGGGAGTGAATGTTTCAGGTCGGACCTTTATGTCTGTATTTTCTCTCCTCAGATGCTACGCGTCCTGTTAAGTATTTCCAGAATTTCCTGATTATATTTCAGATTCCAAGTATCTGTAATATTTTGCTTCTATATTAATGTATTCACCCCAGCCTCTTGCAGGATTGCAAGCCATAGCATAGTGCTTTGTAGAGCAACTAGAAAGAGACTGATAAAGCTCATCGAAATGAACCACTGAAACATGTGACGTTTTAGTTGGGAGGCAAGTGCTCAACTGTGGCAGACTTGGAGTAAAACTGAAGCTTAGATCCAAAGGAAATTATGGTGTTTGTGTTGAAACAGAGAAATATCTTTTAGTGACAAAAATATTTTGAGCACTTAGTCAAGTTTTAAGAATTTAGCTATTGACCATCCTAAAAATAAATCATCAAAATGCTATTAGTGAAAGACATTATTTAAGCTCTAGTTCTGTGAAGTAAACCTAACCAGACTAAAAGGTTTGGTGGCAGTTTTAGTTGGCACGTTTTATTTTGTATTAATTCATGGGATGTGAACTTTGATGACCTGGGCTAGCATTTATAGCTCATTCCAAATTGCTCTTGAGAAAGTTGTGGTGAGCTGCTGCCTTCAACTGCTGCAGTTGGCCCTGGGCTATAGGTACACACTGTGCTGTTAGGAAGGGAGCTCAAGGATTTTAACCCAGCAGTTAAGGAATGGAGATATACTTGCAAATAAGCATGGTGTGTGGCTTGGGGGGGAATTTGCAGGCAGTGGTGTTCCCATGTACCTTCTCTTACCTTCTAAATGGTAAAGGTGTCTACTTTGGAAGGTGCTGCTGTAAGAGCCTGGATGAGTTACTACAGCGCATCTTGTAAATGGTACACAGTTCTACCACTGTGCCTTGATGGTGAAGGGAGTGAATGCTGAAGGTAGTGGATAGGGTGCCAATCAACAGACTGTTTTGTTAAAGTTGTTGTTTCCATGAGTATTATAGCACCAGCAAGAATAGTTTTAACTAAGGCAGCTGGATAAGCTAGAGATGTATTACTTTGCCTTCTTTATGCGTGCTAATCTAACACACAATGCCCAGTGTCATTTTCAGCTTTCCTGAAATCACCTGACCAACTCAATTTTTAGTCCAATTTCTAGTACATTGTGACAGATAAAACAACATTTGTAAACCATTCCCAACACAGATAAAATAGCTGTGTTGTATAGCTATGGATACGTTACCTGTATGTGAATAGTATCCATACAGTATGACTGCAGTTCTGCTGTGATCGATGCTGTTCAGAAAGTGATATTGTTGTAGGAACTTGATGTTACCATATTGCTGGCCATGTTCAACACTTATGCTTTATTTAAGAGGATTTATTGCATTATATTAATCTTACTGATTGTATCAGTATCTCAAGTGAGCATCACTATCTGGATTGATGCCAGAATTGCAGGTACAGGTGTATAACCAGTGATTAACGTGCTCGTAAATGATACTGTGGAGGGATGAGAAACAAATTCAAATTTTAATTTCACTACAATTTCACATTTATTATTTTAATTGTCCGCTACATAATTTTGTCTAGCTGCAGTGTTGAGGGAATCTTCCAGAGACCCATTGTATTCTCTGGAATGTACAACACAAAAACAGATCATTCGGCCCATTTAGCACATGCTCGGGTTTATAGTATACACCTTCCACCTTCCAGCATTACATTCTCTTCACTTTGCTTTCATGTGTTTATCTAGTTTTGTTTTAAATAAATTGGTACTATTCAACTCAGCTACTACTTGTGGTTACCTAAACCATACTTTGCTATACAGGAAGGGAGGCATTCCAAGGTTTGAATCGGTATTTCTCTAGCACCCTTAGAAGTAAGTGCAAGTTAGGGTTGCTGATCATCACCTAATATTCCCACTGAGCAGTGCAGGTACCAACTCGCAAAGTATCGCACGCTATTGTTCTGGCATAAATTGCTCATGTACACAGCTACACAAAAAGGGAACTATGCACCAGATCTGAATTTTAATGGGAACACTGTTCCACCTCATTCACTGGCAGTGATTAGCAATTGTGTACTGTTGAGCATTGGTAAATATTGCAGACTACTTGTACCAGTCTTGTGACCTATATCTAAAAACATATAGTCTGTAGAACTGCATTTCATTGATCAGCTCATGTCAGTTTCATCAGTTTGTTTTAACAGTTTTTCTCTAGTGTATTTTTATGATTTTAATTTGATCAGATAAGCAGATACCTGATCCAATAATCGTTCTCTAACTGGGAAGAGACACTAAGATGTGAAACAGTATTCATTTCTCTTCAACTATTAATTAAATCTCTATTGTTCACATTTTTATCATTCAATACAGAAAATAATCTGGGCAGAGGTCAGTTATTGAACGCACCCTGTAAGCTTGTAAAACTTCAATTTCTTCAGTTGTTATTGCCACACAGCTGACTCACTAGAAATCTCATTCTTTTAAGACCTGAAGAAGACACTATGTACTATACTGTCAGGTCTTTATTCCCCATTACCAAAATCACCCATTTCTTTAGAGTTCAGCAAATCTTGCTGTTGAGTCTTTGACCCAGTATAACTTAGTCTAATGGCAGATACAGGAGGTGTAATATTTGTATGCAATCCTGACAAATATATACTTGGTGAAGGAAGTAACCAAATCCAACAGATTATGAGCATCAAATTAGACTACAGTGCTCTTTACTTCACTGTGCTTCTGTAGTTGATTCTACCTCAAAAATAACAAGTGCTATGTTGAATGGCTCTTTAATTCACACACATTTTATGTTCTTATCATTAATCAATTAAACATGGCTGGGTAAGGTTCCTCAGATGACTGCACAAAGAGATACTGCCATTCCATGTTAACATGATGAAATCAGAAGATCATACCAATGTGCATTTACACTGTTGGAAGTCACACAACACCAGGTTATAGTCCACCAGGTTTATTTGGAATCACACAAGCTTTCAGAGTGCAGCCCCTTCTTCAGCTGTGCCCCGGAAGCTTGTGTGATTCCAAGTAAACCATGTGACTTCTGATTTTGTCCACTCCAGTCCAACACCAGCACCTCCATATCATTTACGCTGTTGCCATTGTGACCTCTTCATCCATGCGAAGAGCATAGTTCCGCTTCCTAACCTGATTCCTTGCTCTTGTATTACTTTGAACTTTCACAAAGAATCAAAACTTGCACTTGGGCCATCAAGACTTCCCAAAGTGTTTTACAGCTATTGAACTTATGATAGATTTGAGGTAGAGTTTTTAGAGGAATAATATCAGATTCGGAGTAAGTCATTCCGCTTCCTAGGCTTACATGATGATACCA